TCCAATGGGGAGAAATGCCCACATCTGTGGGTAGGTTAACCATTCCTTATCTCCTTCAGCAGTTACACCCCCCAAATGAAACGAAAGTCAAGAAATGTGAAACAACCATTTGAGTCCACAAAAAAAGAAAAAAAAAATCTGTGAATAATACTTGTAAGACTTGCTTTGTGTGTTAACCTCAAGTTGTTTGTCATTTTTGTGGTTAAGATGTGAACAGATGCTGTGAGTTATTGCCCATCTAATGTTTTTAATGCAGTTTTGGAAATTCCTTTTGACAGCTTACATTCATTCCAATCAGATAATGGGCTGGGGCGAGAAAGCTATTGAGATCCGGTCAGTGGAAACAGGACATTTGGATGGAGTATTTATGCATAAGCGAGCTCAAAGGTTAAAGTTTCTATGTGAAAGAAATGATAAGGTAAATCCGTTTCAACATTTGCATTAGTGTTTGCATTTTAAGAGACCACCAGGTACCTGTGAAACCTTCATTTTCCTTTATACTGATCTGAATCACGTCTGTGTTAAACAGTCAATATTACCTTGAAATGGCATTATTTGGTTTGCTTCATGTGAACACTCACGATATATTATTCACATATCAAAAGAAACATAAAGCATCTAAAATTTTCTTGTAAAATCTTAGTAACTTTTGTGGCCTGCAGGCCACAAAAACTCAGCAGACACCCCAAATTTTCCTAAGCATTTAGAGAAATTGGTCCATTGTTGTTATCTCACAGTGGGTCAACTTTGTACTTCCACTTCTATACTCTTCACAAAATCACCATTAGGACCTAACCCTTACATTATATTCACCTATGTATGTAAAACATCTGACATGTAGAAATATAAGCTTTTTTAAAATGTCATCCATTCTTTAAGAAATACACAATCACAAACTCAACTAGTGCCATGTCCTGTGTCATTCCAGCCATGTTTCTTCTGAAATGTCATAAGGGGACTCTTTTCCAGTGAAGTTAGCAGTGTCCATTCAGCATGACTAGTCATCTCTGCGGGGTATTCTGTAACAGTGTGGCTTCTACCTTGTCGTCCTTCTAGAGTAACCCAGAGTTTTTAGCAGCTAAGCTGTCCTGCATTTGTGAATTCATCCTTTGTGGCTATGGCCAAAATAGAAATGCTGCCTCCACAGCAGCAGACATAAACATTCACAGAAAATAATGTGATAAGTTGAACTGTTGTATCTCTTTGCACACCCTAATTCCCCAGAGGCTAGAATGGTCTTTATCCAACACTGCAGTGTGGGCCTAGCCTACCTTATTTGACTCTGGCCAGCTACTCTGACTTGGTGTGATACGGGTGGACAGTAACTGTGGGTGGCAGGGATGGTCCCAGGGACTTAAGAACATATCAGGAAACAGACGTAACCTCATAACATTCTGCACACACCCAGTCTCTGGGGACAATGAGACTAGGAGTGATCTGGGTCTGGACACCCACACTCTGGTTCCCTGACAACCTACCCTAGCAGCCTGTTCATCTGAGCCCACACTTTCAGGAGTAGGCTGGGACCACACCAGTGTCTGGAGCCAAAGGTTTAGAGCCAAGGACGCACAACCAGAGAGAACAGCATCCCTTTCTTTTCTACGTTAGGGTTTTCCATGGGTCTTCTCTGTCCTTCCCCTTTTGATTCCTTGAACCAAAATGGAGCTTTATTTTCATATGTAGCATTACCCTAATGACAAGCATCTCTATGGCCTTCTTAAGAAATTGTTGGAAGAGAGCATTCTTCTAAAGAAATTGGGCAAACGAAGTAGCAGAGACTTAATACTAGTGACAAAAGCAAATGCCTTTACTAAAGTTAGGTGTTGGCTGACTGAAGGGCTATGCCACAGCCCAAAATATTATTTCCCGGGGCAGTGGTTCATTTACATTCAGCTTAAGCAAGCAGTAACCCAGATCTTCTCACTTCTCTCTGTTGTTTGATAAACTAATTTAACAGACATAAACCTAAACGACTATGATTCTACTTATTAATGCCATTATCTCATTCGGCTTAGGATATGCCAGCATCAACAGAGACACTAAGTGAAATGAAATGAGCATTAAACTCTTATTACCCTATCTGACCATAACCATTGACATTCCTTTTTTTAAAATTTTTTAAAAATTAAAAACTGAAGTTGTAGAGTAGTCAATAGGCCCAAAATTTGCCCATGACTTTGGGAATTTGCAGGGATTCTCTTAAATCTTGGTCTGCCTTTGTGTCATTTTTGAGGGAGAGAAGCAGAGCCTCTGTGCCTTTCTAGAAACCATCAAAGGACCTATTGTGCCATAGGCCTAAAGTCTAGCACATTGTCCTAGCTTGAAACTCCCTTTTAAAATGTGAACACCCAATGTCACAGTCGAGATAGAGCACCCATAGTGTCCTGGAGGCCAATACTGTACTAAGTAATAATATCAACCATAGTACTACAGGCAGGCATGTTTACATTGGATGCACTGTCTCCAAAGGCACTTTATAAGCACTAGCCACTAGGAGTCTTAAGAGCTGACACATGGCAAAGATAGAACATGTGAAAGGAAATGGATGGACAGTTGAAGAAAAGAGGGGGAAAACCATGCAGTTGAACTAACTTGTTTTTAATTTCAAACAGGTATTTTTTGCATCCGTGCGATCTGGAGGAAGTAGCCAAGTGTTTTTCATGACCCTCAACAGAAATTCCATGATGAACTGGTAACAGAAGAGCACTTGGCACTTATCTTCATGGCGTTATTTCTAATGTAAAAGAACATAACTCATGTGGACTTATGCCAGTCTAGAGGCAGAATCAGAAGGCTTGATTGAACATACGCTTTTCCCTTTTCCTCTCCCTCCACCCTCCCAAAACAGTCCATCTTTCAGTGTTGCAGCCTGGTTGAGAAGGAGAGAAAAAGGTGGCAGGAGTGTCCAGGAGATCCCCAAGGATGTTGCGTTATTTGTGGACAAAGATGGACCATGTGCCCTTCGGAGTTAGGGATAGAAACAAATATTGTGTGCTCTTATGATTAAGCTGTGTTATGGTGGCTTTTGAATTTTTTTACCTTTTCCTTTACCCCCTTTATTTTGTAGGAGTGGGAGAGATGCATATTGAGAAAATGAGTTCGTTTTTAATTCTGTCTGCCTGCTAGTTTTAAGTATACAGTATGTTGTAAAATTTCCCATTTTCAGTGGTAAGAGACAGCACAATAAATGTACCTTATCTCCTTACGCTCAAGATCATAACTGCATAGTGGGGATAATTTGAGAATCTCTTGCCTTCATCAACCCAAATGGTTGCTTTTTCATAGCAACTAGCTAATGAATTTTTAAAAGTGAAGAAAAATATTAGTTTTCCCCTCTTTTGGGAAATAGATTTTAAATGGCTAAACTACTAGCCTTAGTCTAATAAAATCAACTACCACTTTTGAGAGTCTGACAGGCCATGTTTTTATGTGGCCCTTTATAGAATGGAGTATGTTGAATGGGATAAAAATGCCATTGAGTTGAGTGGGCCTAGCGACTGAGGAGGGACTCGGCGACTGAGGAGGAACTTGGTAATGCAACTTTCCCTCAGCCATTATGCAACAAATCAGGGCAAAAGATAGGAAGACAGACGGGTCAGACAGAAAGAGCTTCTGGGAAACACTATATATATATATTTCTTTTTAAAATGCACAAAGTCACTTGGTTTGGGCTTCATTAAGACTGAGACTTTGTTGAGTTCTTTCTGGGAATTGGGAAGCTGATGACATCCCGGCTCTGGATGTTCCCAACTCTCTTGTGAGGGTGCCACTTTCTCAAAATGAAAACTGTGACTGAAAAAAAACTTAATAATAAATGTTTTTGAGCTGCCTGTGTTTTCCCTGGGTTGGTGAGAGAAGGGACTAGACTCCTGAGCCTGCCTCAGACACAGCAGGCTCACATTTTAGAGAACTTGAAAGCAAGGCTTTTGGCCAAAATTTGAGACCCTAATCACTTTACCTTCCTCCAAAATACCCAACATATGGTAAAAAACATTTGTGCAGAGATATGTATGTATTTAGTTCAGGTTGACTTGTGTCCTTATAAACTCTTACTCGAATGATTTGAACTTTTACGTGACTGTCTGAGATTTTTTTCCAAAGCTACAAGCATGGCCGCCTGTGGTATCAAGGTGTTGCAAAACAATATCTGTGTTGCGCTTCCTGTTTTAACCTACCTCGTTTGTTAATTTTTGTTTCACTGTTCATCACAGCAGTGTTATCTCCAGGAGACATATAGAGAGCTCAACTGGCAATCTCAGGTGTATTTAATATTTTAAAACAAAACAGTAGTTGGCAAAATCATTCTTTAAAAAAACGGTGGGGGAGATGCAACAGCAACAATAATGTGGCTTATTTTGGAGAGAGCAATTACTGTAAATGGAACACACCTCACCCTCACTCCCAAAAAACAATGATCCGACTGTTGCCTAAATACTTGAGCAGCTGATATACTATTAATGAGAACGAAACACACATTAGGAAAATGGTGCCATTTCAATCTGGTAGTTTGGGCAAGCGGGGAAGGGAAAAGGAAATATTCTGGTTTCTGGACTAGATATTTATGCCCCACCCACCCCAAAAGGTAGTTACCATTTGCATTTATTTTGAGCAGGTAACACAGGAATGCCATTGAGGATTATCTTTGGGCAATCACCAAGATGTCCTCCTCATGGTCCCTTTAGCTCTCAAAAGCAATGAAATCCTCCCGTTCTCATTTTTACTGCTGTGATTATGCTGCTGAACAATACTATCTTCACAAATTCCATGCAACAAATTCAGCAATAACGTTTTGGATTGAGCTTAGCAACTACTGTAATTGGATGTTGATGTGAACGAAAATGTATTGATTTGGGTCTCATCCCTGAATGTGATTGCCACCAGCTCTTTATATTGCTGCTGTGGTATTTTAAACCAGAAGCTTTTTTAAATTATGTTGCAAACTGATCTTTGTTTTTATGTTTTGTTTTGTTTTTATTTCTAAGTGATAAGTTCAAAACACACAGCTTTAAATGATTTTTTATTGTGGGAATTTTGGGTACAGTTAAGAAATAAAAGGGAATCATTGTGTTCAAACATAAGGTAGTTTGTGAATGTATTTTTTAAAATCTAGATTCATTGAAACAAGAAATCATAAGAAAACAATATTAATGCAGTCTTGTTTACAGTATGTACAGTGACATAACATAGAACATGAGCTTTTCTGGTGCCAACAACAATAAAACACAGATGTTAACCATCAAGCCATGCCTTTTATATTTTTGTACAAATCTTTTACAGTAATTATAAGGCAAAACCAGATTTAAAAGGATCCCCCAGAAATCTTCCCTTTAAGACATAGAATTCCTTGAAGCTTTTATCTTAAAAAAAGATATACTCGCCATCAGGACAGGTGCCAGCCCTAACAAAGTGAGGCCTGCATCATGCAGAATATATCAGAGTTGTATTCTTGTGGCTCATACAGTTCCCAACTGTGGGGTTTGCTCTATTATTTCTTTCAGAGGGTGTTCGCTTCATCTATCTCAATAATATCTTAATAAAAATATCTAGGTTTAATCTTCCTGTAGGGGATTTTCTTCCTAGAAACTGGAGAAACTGAGCCTGAACCCCAGAGTAAGTTCTATTAGATTAGTCAGTCCTTATTGCACTGAAATCATAGCTGTGCACCCAAATTTACTGAACCTTTCCACACCATCACCTTTGTCCGGAGTCTGGCACAGGTGGACCGTCCTTCCTGTGTGCTGGTCAGGGATACTGTAGCCTGGATTCCTGAATCCTGTAGGTGGTAGAAATGGATGAGCTATAAGGCCCCTTCAGATAATGAGAATCTTCCCCACACCAGTTTCACAGACCATTATCATTGCAAACAATATAAATAGTTTCATATAAAATCTAATCAGTCTATTTAGACACATCTCACTATTTTTGTTGGAAACTTTTTTGGGGGGGAGGGAGGGATGAGACAACGTAGTTCAGGCTGGCCTGGAACTCACTATGTAGTCCAGGCTGGCCTCAAATGCACACCAATCCACCTGCCTCAGTCTCTCAAGTGCTGGGATTACAGATGTGCACCACCATGCCCAGCTTGGAAACTTTTAAATAATGCCTCGAGAAAACCTAAACCTATTCATTCATTCAACAGGTAGCTTAATGTTTGGGTGAAATTTCACAGGGCCGTTTGGGTAGGGGCTCCATTTTTCTGACACTTCAACATTGCTTTCCAAGACGCACTCCTAATACACCTTATATCAAGCACACATGTTTAAAACATCTTAATTCCTGTTGGCATGACCTACTAACAGTTTTCTGTCCGCTTTTGTGACTCATTGGTAATTGGTGTCTCTAGTCCCTCTTGTGCTGTAGGGTAGAAGGAAGTGTGCTATTCAGGCTGAAGCCATTGTTTTTGGACATTGCCAGAAAGGGCTGAAGTCTGACCCTACATTCCATGAAGTTAAAAAAAATAAAAAGCTTTCCCTAGTATGTGCATCAGATCCTGTTAACATATTCTTGAAACATGGAAGAGCTCTTTGTGTTAGTGTGTTCTGTCTTTGAAAGTCTGCTTAAACAGGCACCACTTGCATTTGTGCTGATTGCTTTGAGATGTTAGATGTGCTACATTATTTTTAAGAAAGAAGATGCAGTTATGGGTCAAATTTAAGGGTTAATCTTAATGTTCTGCAGGAGCACTTGAGAAAAATCTACAATCTGCTGGTGACCTTTGTGAATGTACACTCTACCATGCAGACCTTCTCCACATACTATATTCTGACCATCTCAACAGTTTCCATAAACTATTAGTTACCTTTTAGTTCACACTTCAAAAGTTTAAATTCACTAAATGAAATGAAAAATAATAAACCAATCCATCAACCAAGAGCTGACCCCAAGTCTACATAGTTACAACAAAATCCAAAAGCCCAAATTTATCTTATCTGCCAGTGTTTCTCATAAGTGTCACTGTACTTTTAGCCATGACTAGTGATATCAGGAACCCTAAAATGAGCTGCCCTTTGTGAGTCCCAAATAAAATGGGTATAAACTGATCTCTAGGAACCCCAGCAAAGAAGAAAACATCTTAAACATTTGCAGGTTCAAACCTGCCAATCTGAATATTTCCACTAAATATTTTCTCATGTTTTTTAATTTCCATACTGCATCACTGTTCTGGGAATTTTTCCATAGATAACTAAATTGTACAACCATTTTCATAGTGCTAAACAGTATGAGATCATAACCCTGTGCTTTAAACTTTATTCTTCCAGACACACCATCCCACAAAGAACCAGAATGCACCATAATAAAAATTTCCAAAAAAAAGTATTTTTTAAACAAAAATCCCTAGGTTTTGAGCTATTTTAAATCCCAATCAAAATACTGGTATATTTCTATGATGCCAGACATTTGAAGAAAAACTAGAAAATACAGTTAAAAATAAAAATTTCCTAAACCTTCCAGATTTTTGGCTTTGTGTAATTATCTACAAACTAATTCGCTCTTTGCATGAAAAGGTTCCACTTTAATGATTTATTTTTATCAGCACCAAAGTGCACTGTACCACTGAGGCCCAGTAAGTGCTGGTGAGAAGGTGAGTTTTCATTTCCAGCTACGGATCACAATTTGCACATAGCAAATATCTGTGCTCCAGTCATCCTCTTTCTTATCTTTTCCCTGGGGTAAGTGTTAAGAAATAGTAATACATATTATGGATCATTTAAGACACCTCAGAAATTATCTCAAATAAGAATTTCAAATATTAGGTAGCAGAGAAAAAGGGATGACAGCCTGGGTTAATTTTAAAATTGGATGTCATAAAACTATTTCTGTGCATTTTAGCTATCTTTTTTACAGTGTTAACATAATTGTAGGAAGATGCTAAATATATATAATGTTAGAAGGCAAAACTGTCATTTTGCTGTAATTGTTTATTTTTTTAAATCTCTAATTTTCTAAATGTTTTAAACTGTCAAAAATTTACTGATATTGGATATAATCATACGTGGTGGATTCTCATCTGAAACTTTTACTTTGTAGTATTCTTTCTCAGGCATAGAAATTGTTCAGGAAGTACTTCCTACAGTTGTTCCACATGGCAGTTATAAATGCTTTGGTAGGTTCTAAACAAGGTTTCCTATACTTATGCCCCTGGATATTATTATTTTACTCTATTCTGTCAAATATGAATAGTGAAATATTTATAGTAGGACACCTTGTTCCTCTTGCCACTTCCAGACCACGATCCCTCTCTCCTCCTCACACCCTCTGCTTTGGCGCTGTTGGCATCTGCCTATAATTCCCTGCTTTGCCCTCAGTCATTCCCCATCATTGCTCAAGCATTTTAGCTCTTGGCTCACTTTCTCCCACATCTCTCTTGGTTAATTGTTGATGATTTCAATATTCAAATAGACAGTTTCCAAAGATCCTGGCTTCTCAGTTTCCTGATCTTGCTCAGTAAAATTTAGCAGTACCAATTACTACATCAACTCTGTAAGTGGTAGTGGGCTGTTCTTCCTGATTGCCCTAAGTATACCCATTGAACCTCTCAAAACAAAGGCCACTGTCTCATAAAGTTTCCCTCTCTCTTTTGTAATACCAATGTTTTCCTTTTCTACTGGAGGATTTCAGTACATTCATGCTGCACGATATCCTGTCATAAACACCCTGCTTGGTCCCGTTTATCATTTTACTTGTCTGCTTCCCCCAACAGGTGTTTGTACATTTATTGTCTAAACTTTACTCCTTCCTTGGTCTTTTGAGCCAACTCCAATCTGCCTTTTATCCTACATAGTAGCTTTGCTAAGGAAGCTAGTGATCACAAGACTAAATGCATTGGTGAGGTCTCTAACATCGTGCTGCTTGACTCATCTGTGCTCTTTGACACCGTAATTATTTCCCTCTTCAAATATTTCTTGGCTTTTGGACAGCCTTCTCATGTTCTCTTTGTTCCCCAGCTACTCCTTTTTAGTCTCTTGCTGAGTTCTGGGTGTGCCCCTGCACTAGGCAACCCCTCTTTAAGTGATTTTTTCCAGTCTTGGGGCACTGAAAACCACATATATGCTAACAAAACCCACATTTTTATCTCCAGCCCCAACCTCTTTCTAGAATGCCAGATTTATACGTCTAACTTCCTACTTGACATCTTCATTTGGATGCATAATTGGCATCTCAAACTTGACATACCCAAAAGTAAACTTATTTGCTCCCCGTTAAAGTCCTCCTTATGTCAGCAGCTTCATTCTTCCACACCAGAAAATCTTGTTACCCTTAATTTCTTTCTTGAACTACCACACCCAGTTGATTTTTTTAATCCAGTTGTGTTTAACTTCAGAGTATGTCCATAGTCCAAACCTGACATGATGCTTTTAAAACAGCCCAACACGTCATCTTTTAGCTGTCCCTCCGTATCTTCCTTGTTGCTCATAATGTCAACATCTTTATGTGGCTGATCAAGCCATAAAATAATCTGTCCTCCCTTTTGCCCCAACCACCACTAGCATTTCTTTGACTTTGTCTACTCTTCCCCTTATTCACTTCACTCTAGCCACATGGGCTATCCTGACTATGACCCTGGCTGCATTTTCTTGCTCTATGAATCATCTTCACAGATCAAGTTGCAGGACTCGAAGAGAGGCTGTCATAAAGAACCCTCTGAGAAAATCAGAATTTCAAAACTTAGATTTATATAGATAATGACCCATTAAAAGTTAATATCTTTGCAATATGAGCAGAATTTTGGATATGACGAGACAATCTCAATTTTGTTTTCTCATCTAAAAATTTTAAAACCACAAGTTTTTCCTAAAACAAGAACTAGACAATAATAAAAGTATTCTACCAAATGTAGTTTCAAAAAATCCAAATAATATTTTGGTCTTATCTTCTAAGTAACAATAGTTCTGAGGCCTCCCTGAATATTTGTATATATTCAGCTTCACTGAATGTTGTTGCATGAAGTTTCATTGTAGGAAATTGACACATGCCTTCTGATGAATTTGTTTCACTTAGTCTTGTAAAGGACACACCTTGTAGTTTCAAGTTGTTCAACCATGTATTTTCCTGCTCACTTAATAAAAGAAATATTTTAAAACTAAAGATAGTGAAATGATGTAATATGAAGCAGTATAACAGTGAAAATTTTCTCTTCCTCTGTTTTTTTGTTTTGTTTTGTTTTCTGTGTCTTCACAAATCTGTTGAGATGAAGAATAAGATATAATTCATTCTAACAGTCAAGGCCAAGGTCTTAATCAGTCCTTTCCAGGACCAAAACTATTTAAGAGGTTCCATGGCTCTTCTTTTCAGATTCCTCAAATCTTTTACAAAGGATAAAGGAATTAATTCCAGGTGAAGAATATGAAATGGATGCTGAGAAATGTCCGGGATATCACAGTCACTCTGAACAACCTAAAAATGAAATGCTCTAGTTGTTAAGATATAATAAATATTTTTAAAATGAAATGTCAGTATTTTATACAAAAAAATCTTAGAGTGTTGGTTTTCTTTTAAATTGTATCTCATCAACTTGAATATTGTTCTTATAAGTTCATACGCAACTGAATCCATTTTATGATAAGAATTTAATGTAAGGTCAACTTCATCCAAAAAGTAGTCATATTTATTTCCAAGGTTCAAAGCTAACTTACCAAGTGAAGCCATAAGGACAAAAATCAGCAACATCATAGTCTAACCAAAATTTCCAGCCATACACCCAAAGCTCCATGATTCCAGGTTATCTTTTATTTTTAGTGCATTTAATAAAAGAGGAATTTAAAGCTAGGAGGCATTGCTGCAGCAGGAAGACATAAAATAACTGTTCACAACTGGAGACCAATCAGTCTGAGCAGGTCAAAGTTATCACCAGTCAAGGCAAAAAGACCACAAAGGACAATGTAGTAACATTTCCATAAAGCTCACTTAAAGACATTTGAAGGTGGTACACCTTTTTTTTGGTATTCATTGTATTTTAGAGCTAACGCTGATAAAAGATAGCAGTTCATTTCATTAAATGTTCCTGGTTTGACAAAAACTAAAAGTTGGCAGCCTTTTTGTCAGTCTTCTCAAGAATTTGGGAAATAGAATGGGGGAGCCTTCAGTTTTGGTTTTTAAATTTTCCCTGCAGTGAAAACTGCCCCACCCCCAGAACTGGAAATAGCTGTTCTAGAGCACCTGTAAGACCTAGACAAGTATAGAAATACGCCGTCTATCCTGAGTTGCTGGAGCAATTAGAAAGAGGGAGAAAAACCCTAAGAGCATCTTCTAGCACTGGAACAAAGAAGACACCTCACCTGTTGTTCATGATGTCGACTTATGTTGGTGGTTTCGTCAAGGTAAGTGGTAGCTAAACTCGTGGCATCCCAGAAGCTGCAGTACCTTCACGGAATGGACATGTTGCGATACAGAGGATACCGTAAAACTCAGAAGTCACCAGTGAACGGCAACCCAGGCAATGTATCAGCCAAAGAAAGATTGGGTCCCAGTGTTTTAAAATATGATCTCTTCCCATCATATCTACACCTCAGAAATCAAAAAATAACAAAATGTTCAGTAACACGCTGCAGTTTATAAGCCACATTTATTTGAAAAATAACACTAACACAAGAATCACTTCTCCACAAACGAAGCCTGGAATACACATAGGTTGTTGGACCCTTTGTTATAACTCCTTAATTCCAAACCTTTCCAACATCCCTAAGCCAGTTTGGAAAATGTAAACCCTAAGAACCCTCATTTGTGTCTTGGCAAATATATTTGGCTTGTTGGTATGCCATCTTATTTTTAAGGCATTTGAGTCTGTAGTTAGAGGTATAGCTCAGTGGTAGAGTGCGTGCCTAGCTGTATGAGGGTCTGGGTTCAGTCTCAGCATCACCAAAAACAAACAAGTATCTGAGGTGCCACTAAAGCAAATTCAGCCGGGTGTGGTGGCACGCACCTATAAACCCAGCACTTGGGAGGCTGAGGCAGGAGGATTGCCGTGAGTGCAAGGCCAGCCTGGGCTACATACTAAATTCAAAGCTAGCTTCAGCTACACAGGGAGATCCTGTCTCAAAAAAAAAAAAAGAGTTGAACCTCCTACAACTTCCAGAAAGCAGATGAGCCACTGCCGCCCTTTTCTCATGAGCTTGGGAGCCAGGCAGAAACACGGACAGCTTCGGGGGGCTGGGGTCCACTCCCGGCCCCTCTCCTCCTCCCCGCTTCCCCCGTTGGAGCTGAGTTGAACCTCCGACAGCTTCAGGAACGCAGGTGAGCCAGCCTCACATCTGCCCCACCAGCTTGGGAGCCACGGGGAGCCCCAGACAACTTCAAGAATGCCCTTCCTGCCCCCACCCCACACCCTCAGGGGAGCTAAGCTGAAACTCAAACAGCTTCAGGGGCCTGCGTGACTGAACACTTACCCCACACACACACTGGTGTGGGAACCGGGTGGGGTATGGGCAGTGTATGCAGCCGCGGTGACCACGACCCGCCCACTACTACACCCCAGTGGAAACAGGGCTGAAACCTGGACAGCTCTGGGAACCCCTGAGTGGGAGCCAAGCTGAGCCCCGGACAGCTGTGGGAGCATTGGGATCACACTCCACCGACACACACCATCAAGGGAGTCACACCAAGCACCGGGGACCCTTGGGTCCTTGACCGGCTACTCTGACATCATCCTGGGTGTGAGGCTGAGCTCCAGGGAACCTCTGCATCTCTGAAAATGACAAAATGAAGGAGCAAAATGCAATCACAGACCTCTACTCCACACAGAACAATTCCAGGAGATACCGACACAGAAGAGCTTGGAAGTCATACACCTGAAATTTCTGAAATGATAGCAGCTGAAGTAAAAAAACAACGCCATCAGGCCATAGAAGACATCAGGTCAGAAATAATCTCTGAGGTAAAAAAGAAATGACAACAATAATGAAAGAATTGCTTAGCACATCTAAAGAAGACATTAAAAAAAAAAAAGAACAAATAAAGCAAATCCAAGTCATCCTACCCAGGAAAAGGAAAGCAAAGAGGCATTTGTTTATTTATCAGCTGCCTATTCTATAGCAGGCCCCAGGCTGAATGCTGAGGCAGAAACGAATAATGGGGTAATGATCCCTGCCCTTGAGCTGCAGTCCCTTACGCTACAGGAGGCTGGAAACAAACATGACAAAATCACTCTAGCTGTTGGATGGAAAAGCCAGGAACTTCTGTGGAACCAAAGAGAAGGGGCTTTTGCCTAAAAGGGTTATGGAGGTATATCAAGAGGAAGTGGATCAGGAAACTAAATCTTGTAACCTCTTGAATGTATTGTAAGCACACCCTTGACCTCTAACCCTAACCTTATCCCTATCCTCTGACATGCCACAGGGGTTTCAGAATCCTGATTCAGCCAGTTGCCCGGTCCCTTGTAAGCAATGTTTGGTGAATGGATAACAATGGATAACAATATTACTTAGGTTGGCCATGTTACCCAGGTGTTAGTGGAAGCTCCCGCACTCCCCCACCCCTGGCCTTGTGAGTAGACTATTCAGCGCGTTCCTGGCATTCCTGCAATTGCTTTTTGTAGAACTAATTCCCCAATCTCCTCAATGAACCCAACCCTTGAAGCATGAAGTTGTCCTATGGTCCCACTAGCCCAAAGCTTTCTGATCATAAGAATAACGTGGGCATTTATTACCAAGGCAAGCTTCTAGACCTCCCCACAACTGTGTGAGCAGAAAACTGTCATGTTGAGGCCCACAGTCCTAGATAACCCCACTGCACTTCTGAAGAAACATTACACTTGTGGAGTTTTTCCTTCTTTCCCTCTGAATAGTTCTGTGTTATTCCAGTTTTTATACAAATCAAAAGTTTTTCAACCTACCACCCCTTTCACATGTTGTGCAGGCATCTTAGCTACCACCTTGTCCCAAAGAGGGGTTGGAAGAGAGGCCATGAGCTGCTGTGACCAGCCTCCTGGGCCAGCTGGTCACTGCATGGGCTTCATTACTGGGGTGCATACTCTTGCTGGCAGCCTGGAGCTTTGCTGAACATCTGGGCCTGGCCTTTCTACTTGGGGATTCTACACTGTGGTATGTTGTCTCATCTCAGATCTTGCTAAGGACACATGATACCTGCTCTTGCAAATAGGTCATTTTATTCTCCTCTTCTTGAAATTAAAAGAGCACAATATCTTTTACATTTTAAAAATACCCTTTAAGAAGCACATTTTAAGCTGGTATATGCCTGTACTCCCAGCATCCTGAGACACCAAGGCAGAAGCAACTTAGCAACACAGCAAGATCCTGTCTGAAAATAAAAAATAAGAAAGGGCTGGGGATGTACACCCTGGGTTCAATTCCCAATACTAAAAAAGAGCACATTTCATTACTGTTATTTTTCACTTATTTTCATATATTTTATTATTGTCAGTTGCTTATATTGCTTTTAACTATTTCTTTTTTCATGCTTATCCCCTTTCTATCTCTGATTCTCAAACTTACACTTATTCCTTTTTATTGTCTGTTAGTTTTGAGATTTTAAAATATTATTACTATTTAATATTTATCTTTTCTATACAATTTTTCTCTTATTTACTTGTTTTGCTCTCTTTATCCTGTTATTTCATAGATGTCTTGATTTCTACTTCTCTGAGACTTCAAGTTCTTTGTTTTTTTTATAGCCCTTTTCTGCTTATCCACATTTTACATTGATGTTTTTATATTCTTTCTTGCTTTTAATTTCTTAGTGTCATAGTTTGTTGTACTGGTTCCTTATGTGTTCTAGTTATTTTTTTAATAATGTATCCTAATTATTTTTCTACCATATCTTTAATTTCCTTCCTAAGCTTAATTTAAAGCTCACTGTTTATAATCCCCTCACTTTATAAATGGGTACACTAAGGCTTAGGGAGTTAGAAATAACTTGTTCAGATCTTAGTATGTGTAGTTATGGAACCTAAATAAGAAGCCTGCTGTTTTGATTACCAATCTAGCATTCTTTCTACCAGAGAACTCCTACGATAATTAATAGGTTAAAGGAACCTCTTTTCTTTGAAATAAGGAAACCTCAGTAGTATCTCACTAAAGAGAGTTTACTTCAAGACCAATCCAAGGGTATAAATGTCAAAGACAACACCCTGGGATGAGGTTGCTCCTTGGCCTTTAATTAAAAGGACCAATGAAAATAAAGTGAAAAAAGAAAGCTGAAAAATGGAACATTGCTCCTAAAATAAATGGAAGAACAGAATCTAAAGTCAGAATACAATATATAAGTGGGTAAATCAAAACTTCCATGTCTATTTCATTGTTTCAGGCAGTCCTGCCAGCTTCACAATTGTGGGCTTCCAGTTCACATCTTTGTAAATTTTGTCCACTGCTATTCTTATAATATGCTCACAAAATCAAACAGAAAGTTTAGATTAATAACTACATTAAAATATTACCACTATTAGTTTTAAAATGTGTTGCATATCTATATAATATCTAAAAAAGGAACTATGTGTGTACTTTCAATACCCAAACTATTTTCCCCTCCCTCTTTAAAAAAAAATACTTTTTAATGACTTTCTGTTGTTTGAAGCACATTTCCATTTGGTGCTTTTCAGTTAATATTACTGCTATATTATATGCATTATAAAAGATTATATGCATTATACTTTATTCCTTAAGTTTTAATGGTTTCAAGAAAACAATATAACTCTACCTCAATGAAAGATATATAAAAATGTTCATCTTCAGACTCAAATTTAGCCTTCCCAATTGACCAATGGCATCTGTGGAAAGTCTATAATTATTTTTTTACTGGGAATCAAGCTCAGGACCTAACCCTTGCCAGGCAGCTGCTTATGCAAATGAGCTATATTCCCAGCCCAAAACCAACAATTTCTTCTCTCATCTGTTTCTTCCTCATACATTCCTATTAACATTCTGGCTACATTTTTACGAAAGTTCACAATGACAGAGAAAGCATTAACTTGTGCATCTGGTATTGAGATGCTTTTTTACTTTGTTAGTCAATAAACTTTTCAAATAGCAATTTTTCACAGTCCCAGAATCTGGAGCAGTTATCTCCTTGCCAGAGCTGGTGGTCCAGTAGAAAATTAGTAGATGAACATGCTAAGTGAATTCTCACTAAGCAAGAAATCTGTAAGTAGGGTGAATGAATCAGGTTGGATGCTCTGTGATGAGAAACAATAGGCCAGGGACCAAATGCATTTGCCCTGTACCAAGACAGAAGGTGATTTCGAGTTATAAAGGAGAAGGAAATCTTATTTGGACTTATTTTACCAATCTTCCAATGGACTCCTAATGTATCTGAAGAGATGCCACAAGCCTACATTGAGTAATTTGCACACATTGGGGATTTTCTGAGGGGAATGGGGCTTACTGAAGCTAGTTGTGTTTCTCGGAGATCTACGAGACAAAGGAGCACCTGGGTCAACAACTTGTCCTCTGCCGAGTTGCACCATCTGCTTGTTACAGTACATTCCTGGAACTCTGGTAAACAGCTGGCACAAGAGTCATTTCTCCTGACACTGCTCCTTTTATTGGTGACCTATTGGTCAACAGCACAGAGCAACATTGTTTGTTAAACCCCAACTCTGATCTCATGATCTTCGCTCCCACTTTTTATGTCAATTGCATAAACCTCCCTTGACACTGCCTACATGTATGTATACTTGTACATATGGACAGTAAATGGTTTTCAAGACAATAACAGCACAAAAAATAGTACAAACAGTGTCTGAAAATGATTAACCTGCAAATCTTAAAGAGGAAAATAAATGAAAGAAAGCTGCTCTGTGGAGTACTGTAACCACTTAGGCATATATGATTGAAAAAAATGGTTAGAAACAGGGAATTTTAATAGACTTAATTTAAACTAGAATGATTCTAGAATTGCAAATAAAAGTGTTCTGCATGCAGCAGTACCATTCAATTTAGAGTGAATTGCCTGGTGATTAATTAATTTAGGACAGTGCTCACTGAAAAATCGCCACAAACACACATCCATCAAAAGAATTTGCTACAGACTGTCAAATCTCCATAGCATAAATAACACAAATCTAGGGGACTACTCGCTCAATAAGTGACCCCTTGTTCTTTTAATTAAAATTGCCCTCATTGCCAAATATCACAGGCTCCAGGCTAAAAGAAGGAGCAGAGTTGATCTACTTAGTCAGCCCAGAAGGCCATGGGACTCCATGTTAACTTCTAAAGAAAATTTAAATGGAGTGTAATCAATCACAGAAACACGGCAGAAAAATAAGAACAGCTGACATCAGCAAGCAATTACTATGTACCGGACTTTGTTCTAAGCACTGTGTCTACACTGCTTTGTTTAACCTTACAGCAAGCCCATGAAGCAGATACTATTTTCAGCTCACATGTGAAGAGACTTAAGCACATCTAGTTTGTTTTACAGATAATGTCCAGAGAAGTTAAGCAAGGCTTTCTCACGGTCAAATAGCCCAGCCCTTGCAAAAGGAGGACCAAACCAGATCACCTGGCCCCAGTTCAAGGATGCCAAACTCTCATGAGCAAGAATTCCACTTCCACAGCTGGTCCTTTTCATCCTCTCTCTTGAACAAGCAAGGGTCAGTTATCCAGAGGCCTGATCTTGGACTGAGGATTTGGGCATCTCTTGTTTATAAATTTCTTTCTTACAATTTCTTAAAATTTTTAAAATTCTTAACATTTTTAAAATTCTTTTTTGGTACTAGGAATCGAACTCAGGGCCTTGCACTTGCCAGGCAGGTGCTTGTGCTGCTGAAGTATATCCCCAGCCTTTGTTTATAGATTTCTTGATCATACTGAGGAGGACAAACTT